CCCCAAAACCCCAAAACCCCAAAACCCCAGATTTAAAAATTATGAGAGCAATAGAATTAAGGTTAATTATTAAATTAATAGGAAATAAATATTATTTAATTAAGAGCTATCTGCTTTGTATGAAACTCATATTATACTCTTCAAAGTATATTCCAAAAATCAGTAAATGTATTACATATTTTGCTGCAAACACACTGAGCACTCAATGGATAATGAGAAATACTAATGGTATCATCAGTATATTCAAGATCAACTGTGGGATTACCAATTGATGTGCATCCAACAACAAAAATCACTGGTTTATCCTGGACATCCAATGCTTCCCTTACATGCTGCCTAAAGTTGACAAGTTTGCCTTTAACAGACATGCCTATTCTCTTAGCTCCTTTAGGTAAATAGGATGAAATAGGAGGTCTAATGACCTTCATCAAGAAGTTATCATTGTTTGATCTGCTTTATGACTCTAAGACTGGAGCAGATATTCTTTATTTAGTCAAAAGCTATGCCATAAGTCCTGAAAAACGCTTGAAGGTACGAGGAAGTCTTATCTGAGGATTTATCTCAATAAGAACATTCTTACTAGTCCTTATGTAAATCTAAAGCTTCCCAGATTTATTGATTGGGGTATCCATCAAAGCTAATAAGCACTAAAATTGATAAGGCTTCCATGATAATTATTACCTAGTGAGCAATATCAGGTCTAAAATCTTCTGGAGATCTTTTCATCTTTGTAATTAACTTCTCATGATCATCACAGTTTATCAATTCAATGCCTCTTTTTGTTTGTGCTATTTCAAGTGTACTATACTTGAATTTAACTAACTATGTTAAATACTTACGCTTGCTCTAGAATGACAACTAATCTTTATCTGGTATGATAGTCATCTCTCCCACCTGCATTTTAGGTTACCTATGAAGGAACAACAACTATTTCTTCATCAATTCCAACATCATCATTAAAATCCTATCCATCATCACTATTTTCACTGTTATCATCTTGCTGTTGCCTTTATTGTTTCTTGCTTCTATCTTTTAAGTCTTGTTTTTCAATTTGCTTTGATTTATGCTTCGACTCCATTATTTATTATCTAATTATATATTTCTTGAAACACTGTATTTTAATTCTAAGCACTTTAATCTCTATTAAACTCATATATAGCTTAGAGGGGTTTTGGGGTTTTGGGGAGATCGGAAGAGCG